CCTGTTTTTTTTCTGGACTGCTAAGTGGACCTGGAGCCTCACAGTCCACCATTTTTCTTTCAGCTGTGAGAAGCTCCTCCATTTCCCTTATGTACTCAGAAATTAAGTGGTTTTATGATTCACTGGTTTGCATTTTTATGCTCAGTTTTGTCATTATTTCCACTGTGAATATACTGTTTGCTTACCTGCATAATTACTGTGCAGTATGTGAGCATAATTAGTGTCTGGAAAAAAGTGTGATAGTGAGATTTAGTGAATCTGCATATAATAAACTCAATCTGTGAGTCTGATGTTTGTGTGTAGTGAAGGTGGATGGATCAGGGGTAGCAGTGTGTTTGTGGAGCGCTGCCAGGCCATGTTAATCAGACTGCAGGAGGTTTGCCCTCAGCTGGACACAGATGGACTAAATAACATCTGGATTATCAAACCAGGTGCCAAGTCAAGAGGGCGAGGTGAGTTTAAAAAAAGTTACACAGTTATCTTATATATAAATCTTTCACTTCCTCTGTGGAAGCCCTGAGAGGCAAGTGAGGAAAAAATCTGGTAACCCCTTTTTCCATTTCTGATCTAAATGGCCAGGATAATTCCCCCATTTTTTTTTAATTATTATTATTTTTTTGTTTTTGATCTGTGAAAAGTCTGAGTGGGGGATTTTTTTTTTTTTTTTGCGAGGATATTTTTCATAGTGCTTGTTCTTGTAATTCTAATTTTGGCCACAAGAGGCTGATGTACACCACTTCCTCATGTTCTAAATAGCACTAAAAGCTTTCATGTTTTCTTCCAGGTGAGTTTATTGTGTGTCAGCAAGTTGATTTACATTACTGTCATGTCTTTCTTTTTGTTAGAAATATATTTTAGCTGGTGCAGATCTGTGTAGTGCAGCTAATGCTAATGGAAGATTAGCTTCTAGTAGCTTAAATGAGTATTACAAAAGCAAACATTTAAAAAATTATCCTGACCAAAAAAAAAAAAATCACTGGCCTCTTTCACCGATTGAGTCGTTTTTTTTTCTTGAGAAACTTATAAAGATAATCAAGGTCAAATCTGTTTTCACCTGTTCTTAAGCCTTTAACACAGGAGAGAAAACAATTCAGATCAGACTTAGAAAATGGAGCATGAGAATTTTTTTCTCATTTGTCTCTCAAGGTTTCCGTGCCATAAGGCAAAAAAAAAAAAAAAAGTTATACGGTCTATTGGGAAAAAAATGATAATGCTTACAATTCCCCTCAGCTTCAGTACAAGGAACGTTAGCCTGCAATTTGTTCAGGGGTCATCAAAAACACTGTGTCCTCTTAGTTTAAGTTCGACTTGTTTAATCCACTTTTTTGTTGTTGTTTTTTCACCAACCACCCAGGTATTATGTGTATGGATCGCCTGGATGACATTTTGGCACTTGTGGACAGTGACAGAGCCCTGACTAAGGAGAGTAAGTGGGTGGTTCAGAAATACCTGGAACGTCCTCTGTTGGTCCTTGGCACCAAGTTTGACCTCCGCCAGTGGTTCCTTGTCACCGACTGGAACCCTCTGACTGTCTGGTTCTACAGAGAGTGCTACCTGCGGTTCTCCACTCAGCCCTACTCCACAAAAACTCTGGACAGGTCAGACAGTGGGTCAAACAAAAGAGAAAGACAAATGTTTGATATTATCTATAACATCTGACCTTTACTTCATCTTGTATCTAGAGTACAATGCAGCAATACATGTAGGACCAAATGTACCTGTGTTATTCAAAGCATGTTTAACACTTGCTTCATGGCCTTATCTCTTTCCTCAGCTCAGTCCACCTGTGCAACAACTCAATCCAGAAGCACTTCCAGCCATCCTGTGAGCGCCATCCAGGAGTGCCCGAGGACAACATGTGGTCCTGCTCTCAGTTTAGGGCTTTTCTGCAGCGGCAGGGCCGTGGGGCAGAGTGGGAGTCAGTGGTGGTCCCGGGCATGCAGCAAGCAGTGGTCCGTGCCCTGCAGACAGCCCAGGACCTGGTCGAGCCCCGCAAGGCGAGCTTTGAGCTCTACGGAGCCGACTTTATGTTGGGCAGAGATCTGAGGCCTTGGCTTCTGGAGATCAATGCCAGTCCAACTATGGCCTGCTCCACCACTGTGACTGCTCGCCTCTGCCCTGCTGTACAGCTGGACACACTGAGGGTCGTGCTAGACCGACGGACTGATCCTAGTGCGTACACAGGAGGCTTCCAGCTAATCTACAAACAGGTTGGAATATCTTTGCATGTCATGCCTAGAGACAATAGATGTTAATTTCCAGGGGATTTTCACCAAATGCATTTATTTGTGTTTTACTTGATTACCCTCCCAGGCTGCAGTTGAAGTTCCTCAGTATGTGGGAGTGAACCTGCTGGTGGAAGGAGCTCCCATAAGGCGATCCAGACCTCCGTTTCATAGACAAACTGTTATCTCTAACCGACCTCTCACCATCCAGTTCCCTTCAGACCAGTCGTCGTCAGAGGAGCTTGAAACAACACATAAAGCATCAGGTCAGAAGTCTTACACAGTTCCTGCTTTTCACCGCTCAGGCAAGGAGAATCGAGAGAAGAGGAGGCAGGTGACATCAACATCTGCTAAGAGGGAGTGTGAAAAGAGAACAGAGGTTCAGAAAACCTCCTTTGTTCGCAGGTCCAGTCACAGTGTGGCCTGTGAACAGCCTTTGGTGGTACACACCGAACCCCAGAGGAAAGCACGGCGTTTGGCTCTAAGTCTTGGTGCCACTGGGGCAACTCTGGTCCCACGGAGCCTTTCTTTTTCCCTCAGCCCCCCTCACAACATGTCAGAGTGCAAATCTCAGGCCAGCCCAGGCCATGGATCACACATCTCCAGATCCTTCATTCCCCAGACAGCTTTTGAGCCCCAACACAGGACTCCTACCCGGGTCTTTCCTCCACTACGGGGTCCTCTCCCTACTCTGGAGGTCTTTAGCTTGAGACCAAACATTGTGGCTCGAACCACTGACTGTCGTAATCCAAACTTGTCCTCTCATCCCAGTGTCCATAGGCAACAGTTATTCCTCTGCTCTCAAAGGCAGAGCATGTCCAAACTTAAAGGAGAGCACACATGGGAACATAAACACTAGTGCTATTAAGCATTCTATTATGTGATGAAAAGCAAATACTAAACAGTGCTAAAGAGGTTTTGGTAGCAACAACAGTGTTGTTGATTAATAATTTAATGGGCTAAACAACAAATGAAAAACTAATTACATATGAAAATCACAACATATGATGTGATTGCAGTATCATTCAATTTATTCTGATAGCATCAGATTTTGTTTGTAGAAATTTCAGGCAATCATGGCGAGTGGCAGACGTGACACATCATCACATCATTCACATAGGGGCTTTAAATTTACAACATCAAGGTAAATATGAGTATATTTAACTTCTCATATTAGGAGTTAAGTTATACATATACCATATATTCCAGTGGTAAAATAATTATGTCTTAGTTTGGCTGACTGGAGTCTTAATATATGTATATGTTTGACAATGTTATGTTATGAATATAATGTGTTGAAGTTCATTTGTATTAAAACACATAGTCACAAAGAGTTAATTGTCTCCAGTGAGTCAGATATTTCCAAGGTAACCTGACATAAGATAATAAAATGAACTGGTTTCATCTTCTGTGGGAAAAGAATCAGGTCTACATTAACAGGATGCAAGTATTTCAAATGCCCAGCAGGTGGCAGTACAGACTCAATGATCTATCTGCATGTTTATACCAGGTTTATACCGAAGCCTTTAAAGGAGAGGGAATTTTAAAAAAAGGAAAGAATTGGCGGTTCCTAACCAGATGTTGGTACATGTTCAGCAACACCTGCTTCATCTGGTCTTTCAGCTTGTTTTTAAATGTAAAGTCAACATGTAAAAATAGGCGGAGCAGTGTCAGTGTACATGTGCACACTGCTTGATTAACAGACCTTTCCTGAATGATACAGACATCAATACATATTTAACTGCTACATATTGTAAATTGAATTGTTGTGTGTTTGATTTAACCACATAAATACAAAATAAAGTACTAAAATTGGCAAACTAAAAGATTTAGATTTTTTTTTGGTGGCATTTTTGCCCTTTAATCAGACAGAATCACACAAATAGTAACAGAAAGGAAACGATGAGGACGGGAGAGAACACTATGAAATACAACAAAGGTCAAACCAGAGATGTTGTGGTTGTGGTTTGTATATATTCCATTATTTAACCATAGCAAAATAACATTTTTTCAGAATTTTCTGTCCGAAAAAATGGGTTTACTACAGCTCCAAATATCTCATGCCATCTATTAAACATGGAACACCTACTGAAAGGAATGTCTGGAGATGAACTTCAGGAGAATCAGTTATGACGGAACTAACGACATTTAGGTTGCAGGTCATGGCCTTTGACTTCCGTAGGTACAAACAGACTAGATATGGAATGAGACAGCACTCCTACACCCTGGAAATGATAGTGGAAACAACAGTAATATGTGGTAGAACCGTTTGAGCATTGACACTGGATACGCTGGGCCTGTGTAGAAATCTGCAGCATGAGATAAGCCTTGTTGATTTTAAGTGCAGTCACACAGCTAAAAAATGTGATTGCATAATACATGTTGTGATGGTAAGTAGTATTTGTTACGATTTATGAGTTTATAGTGCTGGCAGCGTGAATACAGGGGGAGATGTTGCAATTCTGGAATAATAGAACTTCATATTGAATCATATGGCTAATAAAAAACAGAAATCGTCGCTCTGTTCATGCTGTCAACAAGATGCAGATAGATCCTGATTATTGCCTCAGGAGATTAACTGAAACTGTTTACCCTCACATGTATTTACTTGTTGTTGTATTAGTAGGCACAGACGGTTCACCAGCAGGAGAGCCGGGCTACAGATCTGCCATTACATAAGTGTTCCCTGTGACATGAATGTTGTGGCACTGTAAGAGAACAGATTGCGTTTCACACACACTCTCGTCCTCTTTCATATACATACAGTCGAAGCCATTTTCCACGGGAAAAAAAAATACTTTATTAATACACTTATATAATGTATACCAACATTTATAGACAAAATATGTACATCAAACATCTTTCATGTAGGTCCCAAAATATAAAATCTCAAGTACCTCTTTCTATAGAAAACTAGTCTTCTGGTAAAACTTTTACATTCAACTTCTCTCCTCCTTCCTCCTTTGACTCCAGTATTCATACGTAGTACAGAGAATAAACATCTGAGATTTATCAGCTTTTCACAAGTAAAAGGCAACAGCAAGAACAAACACCAGGTTTGACTTGAGCAGAAACAGATGTTGAGTATGCAGACCAGGTCCAGCACAGTGCTACAGTATGTACACAGTTTCTGAGTACACAACGTACAATTGTCCGCACTCTGTCCGCCTTCTATCTCTTCGGACGGACAGAGTGCGAGAACGGGTATCAAAAATAGAAATGTACAAGAAGTCTATGAACAATAATTACAGAAAAATCCATCTTAACTGTCTGTTTGTCAAAGAAAAACAAGACTTCTCATTCAGTGTGGTCATGTGGCGGCCCATTCCTTCATCCATGCATTGGGTGTACCCTTACTCTTGTCTGTACACATTTGAGGAAACCCTACGGTGCCGGTCATCATAGTGTCCGGCTCCGAGGGCTCTCTCAGAGAAGATAATGGTGACCTAAAGGACATAGGCAACGAACTTTGGGTGAAATATTACCGCTAACATTTGGTGCAACACTTTCTAAAGTACAAAGATGGCGTGTCTCTATTGCAACAGCTACAAGTGAGATGCATCAGTGTCATCGGCGTTTAGACTTTTAACAGCAGCATCTATCTTTCTTTACATTCAACCGTGTGTGTGTGTTGGTGCGTGTGCAGGGCAGGTCCAGTTTATATGATACATTTGCACTGAGTAATACCACTGAGCATTTGACATTCAACCCGAGCTTTGCATCCTCTGAGTGTGGACGGATGTCGCTCTCTCCTCCACCTCCTCTCGATCATTTCTACAAGTCCGCTAGTTTGTGATTCGACCTCTGCACATTGCGGAACAGAGGACAGGAATGAGGATGGATGGAAAGGCTCAGTCACGTTCTCATTCCTACTGCTGTCTCTGCTCCTGGGTACGAGAACAGGATCATCTCTTCAGCCCTGTTCTCTTATCGCTCAATCTTTGGTTTCCAGGTTGAGGGGTGGTACCTGCTTTAGTGCCTGAAGGAGGGCAGGGGAGTCCATGGGGGTCTGAGATATGGCTGGGGCTGGAGAGCCTCCCCTGGGAGACAACACTAGCTGAGGTGGGGGTGGTCTTTCGCTGGGCATGGTGGGCGCAGAGCCTCCCATGCCAGGGTAGAGCATGGGCACGGCCCCGGGGTACCAGCATTTCTCCAGCATTGGCAGGTAGGCTGCAGCAGAAGGTGGAATGAGGTAGAAAGGCATACAGAGGGGATGTGGAGGAGGTGGATGGTTGGGGGATACGCTCATGTAACTGCCATAACCACTGGAAGGTGATGACGATTCTCCACCTGAGAGCAGCTCATCCTCAGACAACTCCACCCGGGGTCGCTTGTGGCGCGGCTCGTCATCCTCCCGCTTGATGCTGGAGCTCTGCCTGTCGCCCAGCGCTCGCTTCAGCTGGCTCTCTGAACCGTAGTATTCTGGACGTCCCTGTGTCGCCCCGGATTCAGTCTTCTCCAGCTCTCCCCCGTAGCCGCTGTCTGTATCTGTATCGCTGCCGCTCTGCTCGCTGCTCGGTGGAGCATACGCCCGCTGGATGACAGGCACACAGTTCCTCCCGTAGCCCTCGCTGGGTTTAGGGGGTAAGCTGGTGGGCATCTCCTTGTGAGGTTGGTGCTGGTGGTAGGTGGGGATTTCCTCAGGTGGTGGGCTGAGAGGAGTGCGGGGCCTGGCTGGACTTTGCAGCACCTCCGCCGCTAACTTGTGGAGGTGATTGATCACATGTGATGGTGTCAAGTCTCTGTCAGTCTCATGATTGCTGAGATACTGGAGCATCTCCTTGGCACACATGTGGAAGCCGGAGCGGAACATCTCCTCTGACTTCTCCTGGCTGACGGGAGGCTGCTCTGTAAAGACAACAAGACGCCACACGGTCAGAACTCCTGCAGTTTGACATAGATGCCTTTTCTCCAGCTAACTCATTTGCCTATAGTTCTACACAGTCCTGTCATTGTCTGTTTATCTTGGTAATTTGCATTCTGTCCAACAAAGCCGCTGTGCTGCACGTGTGCATATTTGTGTGCGTGAGTGATCTGCAGCTCACCGATTTGCATGCCGTTCTGCAGAGCGAGGATCTTCTGCTGCTGTTGCTCCAGAAGAGAGGTGAGGGCTTTCACGTGCTTGAGTGTCAGCTCTAAAACCACAGCCTTCTCCAGATGGCCCAGAGTCTGAAGGAAACACACACAGTCAGCACATCCTCACCTCTTATATAACACACACAGAGTACACTTGGCTGCTCATGTACACAGGATCTTGGCTGTCATCATCAAAACACTGCAGCAATAAAAATAACCAATAAGAAATAATCTGTCAAATATGGGATAATATAAATATCACAAATAATAGGCAGTGTAAATTATAACTTATACTGCAATTATTATTTTTTTCACTGTGTACTGGACTGAATAATTAAAATCCCCAGTTTGCACCATGACACATAACAGAAGACACATCCTCTTCAGTGTGAGCTGTCACTCACTGGCTGCTGACGCACTCAGCACAGAGGATGTAATACCACTGAACAGCCACTCGAGGGTGCATGCCACTCATTACACAGACTCCCATTATCCACAGCCACAGCGTGAACTTACCGTGAGTTTCAGGTGCTCTGGCAATAAATCTTTCAACTGCGCGATGCACTCGTTGATCCGGTCACGCCTTTTCTTCTCAATAAGTCTGTGAGGCAGCTTGTAGGTCTCCTGCAAGAATAAACGCCATTGTTAGTGAAATGCAGCCGATCTGAGACTAACACTGCTATCTCTCTATGATCAGAGGCAGTCTCTCCGATAGGGAGGACTCTAGGAGTTATGTCATAGCAGAAATTAGGCCAACCATTTATGGGACTTGAGGACTACTGCCTGCGTAATTCCTCCCTTGTAGCTCACACCCTCTAATAAAAGATTTATGGTTAGAACTTCACAAGTTGGCAGAACACAAATTATTACCTTGCTCTCCTCTCCTCTCTTCATTCCTCGCCTTGGTTTATAAACATACATCGGGAAATCCATCCTAAAGAGATACAGGGGGAATAACAGTGAGTGATGAGGTAATGCTTTAATTGCTGAGTACATAATACATCAAGTGCGTTTGAGGATTTTTCTTTTTCAAAGTATAACTTACCCCTGCACGTCTGACAGATCAGCCTGGTGTTTGGATAGAGGAGGTGGTTGCGCGCTTGGAATTCGCTCCATTTTTTTTTTTTTTTACTCCAGTTACGCAGTAAAGTCGGTGTACTTTTCCAATGCAGTCACAAATAAATACGCATTTGTTTACGCACGATGAGAAAAGTTGGAAAAAAGCAGCAGTTCGTGAAATGCACTAAAAAATGCTTCCAAAAAGAGATTTGTATTAATATATCATTATTTAAAAACCAGTCTCGCTGGTGTTAAAGGTTATTCTGCGCGTCTCAAGTTAGTCCCTGCGAGCTCCACGCCGTGTTCCTGCCGCAGACGGAAGGCAACCCTGTTGGTGGCGCGTTGGGAAAGTGGGGGAGGACAGAGCGACGAGTTAAATAAACCCTCTGACTCTCCGCTCCGCCTGACCTACCTCTATCACATGAGGCTCACGTGTTAAACGGCGCTGTATCCTCGGCGGAGGGACGGCCCACTTTCTGCCGATAAGGCGCCTCAGTGGGCGGACAGCGGTGGACGTCAGAGCGGAGGGCGGTGCGTGTCCGATCCCGTGTACCACCATGCTGAAGTGTATTGAAACAAGGCTGTGTGAGCAAACAGCGCGGGGAACATACTGGCACAGAACCAGTGCAGGAGTTCAACAGGCCCGAGGCACGAGAGGCGAGTGGGTACGGCGCCTACTGCCATTGAAAATATAGAATAACACAATTAAAATACGACAGTGGGCCTCTGCACTATTGATATCCTGCTGGATTATTATATAGCAATGACGTCACTTTTTAACCGAGTGCTTTATGAGTGTTTTATGATGCATCCAGGTTTGTTTTATAATAAACATACCATTAATTATGAAGGAAAAGTAGCTTCTGAAACAAAATGATTTTTCCTTTTAATCAAGATTAAATTCCCGCAGATCACAACAACAACAATAATGATGATGATGATGATGATGATGATGATGATGATGATGATGATGGTGGTGGTGGTGGTGATGGTGATAAACAACATTCAGGAGTGTAATCCATAAACCCACATGTCTGCAGCGTGCAGGTGGGTCCCGGTATCAACAGTGCGGTAGTACACGTGCACCTGTGCGTGGATGAGTGTGTGGAGTGGATGGAGTGTTTTGTTGTCATGAGGCGGTGCAGGCTGTCACGTTGATCTCCTCATGGCCCCGGGAGCCTGCTGAGCGCGCGGGGCACATCCAGCTCATCCAGCACACGGCGGCTGCACCTGTGTGCTGCAGGCTGGAAACACACATCACACAAGAAGAGGCCGACATCCTTTATTCAAATGCTGATTTTCATGAAGTCTTTTTTTTTTTTTGAAAATGAAAATGTGTGTTTAAATTTACATGTAAACTATTAATATTCCTCAATTATTTCCCTTTACTGGGAAATATCTCTAATGACCCCAATGTAATGTGCAAGCTAAAATACGAGCATAAAGGCCTTTAAATCCACCAACATTATTTTTCTCTCTGGGGTTTGATTATGTCCTCACAAATTCAATACACAGGGACAGTTCCAGACTATTACCAGACATCTTAATGAGACATAATCAAGACTAATCACCCTAATACAACAACAGTTATGTCACATGTAAACAAGAAGTGTTGCTTCATTTTTGGTGCACAATGATCAATGTGCAAGACTCTGACTTTTTTTTTTTTTCAACATTCTCCTTAGAATCTATAATTTGTTCCTTTGCAAGTTAAACTCAAAATGTGGATTAATGACCACCATATGAAGCCAGAATGATGGAGGTTTTGTGAAGCTGTAAACAATATATATCTATCACAGCAGGAATTATGATGTGATTGGAGAAAAGCTGTAACATTTCCTCTCCCCTACAGGGTTTTTTTTTTTTTTTTTCTCATTTGACCACGTCTCTTGGGAATTTTGCCTGGAAATCACATTTAGCAGAACTCCTGCAGTAACTGAATCATATTGACTCATGCTTGCAGTCTTTTTTGGGATAGCTTATTGTTTTTTCAAGAGAGAAGCCCAAAATCCTCTCTCCCAGGAGGCTACAGAAATGTCTCTGGCACAAGTAGAGCTTGGCAGCTTTTTTGATATGTATTTTTGATTCAAAAACTTCATTTTTTTGGTATGTATTTTTAATCCCAATTAAGTTTGACATATTATTTAGGTCATTTTGATATCTTACACAGAATTCACAAAAGTATTTAAAGGCTGAGGTTTGAGGTTTCCTCCCCACACTAAGCGGCGCTTGTTCATTTTGACTATCCATCTATCTTATCTGACCAAAAAAACGGTTAGAAAAGTAGCAGCTGTCGTGGTTGTTTCACAACCTCAGAACTATCAGCCAAACTTTGGCTTTCATGACATTTTCATAAACAGATTTTTAGAATAGTCTCTTTCACTGCAACACCTGAGTGTCTTCATTCAACAAGTTCAACTAAAGCCCTGATAGAAAATTCTTTAAGTGTAGTAAATCAAATAAAATTGGGGTATAGGCTACAGGACTAATTACAAAATGACCATGACACAGGTCACACTGATGCAGCTGTAATTAAATAACAACAATGATGGAAAGCCCCTTAAAAACAGTCTGGGCTAATGTAACACAATTTAAGACTCAATTTGATTAAAATAATCCTGATAATGGCACACTTGTTTGGTTCACTTGTAGATGTTGGAACATTCTTGGAAACACTTTTTGCCCTCAGCATAAATAGTTAATAGGTAGTATATGACGGCTATTTAGCCTTGGGGAGTATATAATTTGTAAATATGTATATACTGTGAACTAATTTTCTTCATGTACCTTTAATTATATGTATGTGTGGCCATGGATGGATTATGAGACAATGGGCCCCACCACCTCTCCTACACAGGAGCAAGACACAGACTTCACAAACAGGGACACAGGAGAGAAACTAAACTGTAGACAGTGATTCAGTTAGAAGCTACAAAAGTCCTGAGAGCTGAACACACAGAAAACACCTTTCTTTCTGGTTTCCTTCAGACAGAGGTGAGTAGAGTCTCACAACACACATGGCTTATTTGAGGGGGAGAAGCGTTGTTGTCAGGGGTTGGCTGTGGTAGGCAATATGTCACCACTATACCCATTTGAGGGTGGGCCGACCAGCTTTTGGACCTACTCTGGAGAAGGTCCATCTCTGGTGCAGCTCAGCATGGCACAGCGTGTCTAAACTGATGATGGAAATGTAAATTGGTGTAGCATGGCTTGACTCGGCACGGCCGAAAGTGACAGTGGAAAAGGCTCATTTGTGGTTGTTTTGTGCCCTTTTATGGTTGTTTTGCCCATTTATGTAGTTATTCTGTGTCTGTGTAGTTTCTTTACATGCCTTTGTGGTCATTTTGAGTCTGTACTTGGTTGGTACGTGTTAAATAAAGTGAAATTTTGCAGGTGAAGGCCAGGGAGGCCCCTGATACTTTGGGCCCCTGGGCCTGTGGTCCAGAAGGCCTGTTCAGTAATCCATCCATGTGTGGCCTGGATTTGTGTACATGCTTAATATTGAAGTGCATTTTCTGCTGCTTTGCAACCAATAATTTGCAGCAGTTGTGGCATATCAGATAAGTTTGTTGTATGCAATTAATGTATATATATTACAGCTATGTAGCCAGAGACCTGCTTGGAGTACTACCTTATGGGAGATACACGATTTGTATAGATAGCCTACTGCTACTCTCCTTTTTGTATATATCAATATTTTCTTTTTGTGCCTATTTGCACTTAAGATATATACATGTAGCTTTGGTATGGCATTAGTGTATACAATTCATATATAATTAATTCTTTACTATTGTTTAATGATGAATTTTTGCCACAGGTTTTGTATGTCACATGACTTGTATAGGTACCAACGACTTTCTGTTGTTTATCAGAACTCTGAGTGATGCGACCGGTCGCTGTGGCTCCCTCTAATTTTTGGTATGACTAAGTCATGGTATGGTATGCTGTACATAATCACGGAAACTGTCAGTGTGTCATTCTGTCAGTCAGTCATTCTGTTTGTCCTAAATTTTTCTACTCACTGATGTGGTCAATCTATGTGAAACTGCACATAGGCATTGAGGATTGGCATAGGTAGAGGGTGACAAAGCTACCAATGGGTATGGACTAGTTATTATTATTGTTAGTAGTAGTAGTAGTAGTAAATTTAAATTTTTTTTAGCTTTTCAGCATGAAGCAAAAAAGTGTTTATGTTGATTGACAAAAACGTTTTTTATAGTGTTGAGAAATTTACTTATAAAAATAAAAATGATAAAATGATAAAATTCTGTTTGGGTGCAAAGTGAGTGTTTGCTGTAAGTTTAAGCGTAACATAGTGTCAGTCTTCACAAACTAAAACTAAAAGGATATTTTACAATTTAAACAGTCTGCACGTGGTCCATCTGTGCCATGACAAAGTCCAAAGAGGTCAAATTAAAGCTAAAAATGTGAAAATGTGCAACCCGTTTGTACTCAACATGTTAACATATTTCCTCATGCAACGTGGTTATAAGATAAGTGCACTTCCTCATTTGTAGAGGACCACAGATAAGATTTCAGAGTTCATCTGTGGGCAATTCCCAAATTCGCTTCTCTGAGGCTCTTCATTCATCCGACTGCAGCACGTAGAAAGAGTGACAACACTCAAGTTGTCAACCAATAAGCAGATAATAATATGGCGACATCCTCATTATCTTTAGTCTCTCACATGGTCTGGTCTTTGGCTAGACGTCCATACACAGTGATGCAGAAACCCTTAAACACTCACCAAGAGATTATTTTACACGCTTGTTTATTTAAATAGACTCCAAGAATGGAATGTACAATTCAGACACAAACCATCCATTAGTATAAAAGTTCAGTTTGGTCAAGTAGCACTCCAAATGACATCTATTAGTTCTTTTTTTACCCCCCTCACATACGCTCAAGCACTCAAACAGTCATTCTCTAGTGGGTCTTTCACAAAGTGACGTAACAATCATTTGTGTGCTACAGAAAATATCAGTGCTTTAGGACTATATGAATGAAAGAAAGATTACATATTCAGTGCAGAGAAGAATAAATCTAATTCGACTAATGTATCTCACAAAATCCTTCTACAGTACGCTAACAATGTGACTCCATATCACTACTATTATTAAGCACAACATGGAACCAGCTTCAGAATGAAGTGGTCACATAATTTGCTCCTTCTCCCCTGTAGGTTCATATGGTCCATTATTCAAAATAATGGTTACAAAAAAAGGTCACTATTATTTCTCTTAACAAGTTTCAGTGTCCACTTGAAAGCCTCTTTTATCTTAAGTGTCCTGAAATGAGTAGAACCTTCATTTGAGATCCTAAATAATGTGGAAGTCATATTTAATGAACACTGTACAGGCTTTATAACAGCATTGAGAAACTTTGTAAAAGCATGGTGACCTCTTTAGGATTG